CTGTGGGCAGGGGGCTTTGGGCAGGGGGGCTAGAGAGAGGGTGCAGTGAGCTGCAGGAAGTGTCTGTGGGCAGGAACTGCAGGCAGGGTGTAGGGGGCTGCAGGCAAAGGACAGGGGGTTGCAGGCATGGTGTTGGAGGCAGAGGACTGCCAAGATAGTTCAGGTGGGTGCAGGCATGGCTTGTGGGCAGGGGGTTGCAGGCGGGGTTCATGGGGCAGCAGGAAGGGTCTGTGGGGAGGGAGCTGCAGGCAAAAGGCTTGCAGGCATGGCCCAGGGGGCTGCAGGCAGGGTGCTACAGGTATGGGGCTGATGGCCCAGTAAGCTTTGGGCATGGGGATGAAGGCAGAGGGTTGCAGGTAGCATGCAGGAGTCTGCAGGCTGGGGGCAGCGTGCTGCATTATGGGGCTGTGGGCAGAGGGCTTGGGCATGGAGCACTAGGCAAGATGCAGGCAGCTGAGGGCAAGAGCTCTAGGCACAGGGGTGTTGGCAGTGAGTTGCAGGCAGGGGCAGGAGGCAAGGGTCTGTGGAAATGAGGCTGCAAGCAGGATGCAAGGGGTTGCAGGTAGGGATGTGGGTAGGGGTCTACAGGCAGGGTGCGGAGGGCTGTGGGTAGGGTAGAGTGGGCATCCAGCATGGGGATGCAGGCAGGTGGCTGCACTGGGCAGGGGGCTGCAGGCATGGATCTGTCAGCAGAGGTCTGCAGGCAGGGAGCAGATGTTTGCAGGCAAGTGGCTGCAGGCATGAGGCTGGGAGCTCTAGGCAGGATGCATGGGGCTGTAGGCAGGGCAGGCAGGGATCTGTTAGCCTGGTGCTGCAGTCAGAGTGCAGGGGGTTCTGGTTCTGGTTGTTGGGCTGCAGGCAGGGGGTTCTAGGCTGGGTGCAGGGGGCTGTAAGCAGGGAGTTGTGGGCAGGGGGCTTTGGGCATGGAGCTGCAGGAAGGGGGCTGCAGGCAGGGTGCTTGGGGCTGCAGGCAGTGGGCAGGAGGTGGCAGACAGGGTGCAGTGGGTTGCAGGAAGGTTCAGTGGGCAGGGGCTGCAGGCAGTTTTCAGAGGGCTGCAGGAAGGGTCTGTGGGCAGGGGTCTACAGGCAGTGGGCAGGGAGCTGCAGGCACAGAGCAGAGGTTTGCAGGCATGCAGCTTTGGGCACAGAGCTCTAGGCAGGCTGCAGGCAGGATCTGTGGGCAGGGGGCAGGCTGTTGCAGGCAAGGGTTTATGGGCAGGGGTCTGCAGGCATAGTGCAGGAGGGTGCAGGCAGGGGGCCTGCAGGAATGGCATAGGGGGCTGCAAGCAGGGTGCACAGATATGGGGCTGATGGAAGGGGGCAGCAGGTAGGGCAGAGCAGGCATCAGGCACGTGGATGCAGGCAGAGGCCCACATGCAGTGCACAGAGGACTGCAGGTAGCATGGAAAGGACTGCAGGTGGGGGCAGGTTTGTGCAGGATGTATCCCTGCCTATCACATCACTGAAGGGAGTGCAGCAGCTCCAGGGCCTCCCTGATCTGCTCTGGCAGAGCTTCTCCTGCCCCACAGCACTACCCAGGACCTCTCCTTTCCTGGCAGGATAAAGGCAGCCCACTAGAAGGGGAAGAGAAGTGTCAGCTGGTGGGACATGGGGATGCACCCTCTGATGATGATGGCCTGCTGTCACCTGTAGAGGGTGACATGGGAGCACCGCTTGACAGGTATCACAAGAATTGCATCATGAGCTTATCTGAAGAGTGCCTGGTGCCAGGCAAAGGACACACCATCCACCTCACTGAGCAGATGCTGCTAAAAGGTGAAGCCAAGAGCAAAGGTCTGAGAAGGTCACATCTCCCATGGCTTCTGCAGGAGGGGTGGCTGCTGAAGCACATTTGCCACCCGTAGGGGACCATACCAGATGCTGCTGGTTGGGATCAGCAATAGTATCCACAGGGATGAGATAGCAAAGGATGCTGGAGAGTCAGTTGGTAGGTCTGGATCAGCAAGGTCCATGGCCAGGCACAGATGTGGCCGTGGCCTAGCTGGAGATGGCTAGGAAGGGACTGAAGATGGCTGGAGATGTAGCTCAGGAAGGGACTGAAGGGCCAGGGCTCAGGCAAGATGGGGCTCCTGGGCCCATGGGCAAGGAGCATGGGCCAGTCAGGGCCATGACAGTTTCCTCCTCCCTTACAATGCGGCTGTATCCCCTCCTGGGCAGCATCACAGACTAGAAGAGAGATGACCTGGATGGGATAGGGAGGGACAGGACAAGAGCGGAAGAGTTTTCTTAGGTAAATGTATCCTCTGCTGTCCTTACTCCATCGCTGTGCAGGGCAAGGTGTGACTTTTCTTTTCACTGTGCTCTTGGCAAACAGTCCTGCTTGCATCCATGCTCATGGGGGGAGTAAAGGGACAGGAGAGCAGAGGAGGGAAGAGAACAGGAGGGGAGCTGCCTTGGATTTGCTCTGGATTAGCAAGTCTTTGCGAAAATTAGGTCTGTCCGTGCTATTCCTCTTTCCGTTCCCCCTCCACTTGGCAAGTTTTCCCTCAACTCCCATGTGACCTTCCTTAACTCTGCTTTCTCCACCTTCATCCCATCAGGGGTAACATCAAGCTGGACAAGCCCCAGGAGGTGCCAGCCAGCAAAAGCATACAAGGTGGCCCAAACAGGGCCAACACAGAAGCTCCTGGCCCCAAAGGTGTCAAGGTGGCTGGGGCTGGCCAATGGCTTCATGCACAGGAAAGGTCACAGTTGCAACATCTGGTTTTGGGAGCCTTGGAAACCACCACCACTGGGATGCCAGTGTTCAGGCATCATGCTATTTTTGCTTTTCTTTGCCTTTCAGCAATCGCTCCTCCACTTTGATGTGGTTTCTGCTATCCTGGATCTCACTGTGCTTGTCAGACTCCTCCGAAAGCACCCTTCCTTTCCAGGGGAACAATCTGCAGGCAAAGCACAACCCATAGCGAAAAACATTGATCAAAAGAGCTTTAAAGTCCAGTGAAAGCCTCAATCCCTGCAGATGTGTAAATGCAGCAGGGTGACTGACTCTGGGTCAGGCAGCTGGAGCAGAAGGGACTGAGTTTATCATATCCTGCTGTCTTGCCAAAGCCATTTAAACACACTGGTTGCCAAGCTGCAGCCTGAGGAGCAACTTGCCTGGCCAGCACAAAGCCACAGGCTGTAAGGAAGGTAAGAGCAAAAAACAAAGCACAAAACTGACTGGGGGGGGGGGGGGGGAGAAAAAAACCAAGAAAACAACATTCAGAGTTTCCAGTTCTGCCTTTTTCCCTCAGCCACCGGAGAAAAACAGCCCCAAATATTTAACAGGCAAATCAGAGAGCGCAGCCCAAAAAAACACATGCAGCTCTGCAACAGCCCAAAGGACACTCCATCCTCCAGTATAAGCAGCACTGGGTACAGCCCCAGCTCAGCCATGCAGCCACAGAGCCACCCCCCAGCCAGGCTCAGGCAGGGAAAGCCAAGGCTTCTCCATCCAGCTGTAAAGCTGCAGGGTATCATAGCCACCTCTGCCACAGAGCAGGGCAAGCGCTCTGTGACTTAAACCACAACAGCTGCACACAGTGCACTGCAGCTGGCTCAAGTTTTCCTGTGCATTTAAGTACCTTTTTTCTTAAGTTTCTGGGTTGGCGGTTTTTATCAAGTCTCCAATATTCAGACTAAGGAGTAAATACGCACCCCCCAAAAAAACCGCCACCCCAAAAGCCCTGTGTGTGGAGGAAGCATTGTTTTTTGACAAGACAGAGCTGGCCACCAAGCAGGAAGGTTGATCTCCATCATCATGCTGAGCAGAAGCAAAGCCCCAGTTCATGCAGATTTGACACCACTGAGAAGAGTCAAAACAAATACAGGCAGACTTGAGAACAAACATTTAAGCAAAAAAAATTTATTTAAGGAATACTTTTAGTAAGAATAACTTAAAACCAATCATGGCCTCATGCTACCTTCCCCCCTTAACCCAGCAGAGGCTGGTGCTTGGCCTCTGCTTTTCAAGGAGACAAGTCTTTGCAAGTAGAATAACCACCCAAAGAAACAGCAATATTCTCACTTCAGCATTACAGATTCAAAGCAGGCAGCCTAGGAAGGATCTCCAGCTAAAGGAGTTCAAAGCATGACAAACATGTTCCAACAATGCTCTGGCTGCAGGAAATGTAAGAATATAACATACTTTGTGAATATAACCCTCCCCACCTCCTGCATGGATAGCAGAAGAGCCACTGGGTTCACAAGACTAGAAATGCAAGGCCCAGCTCCATCATGAGCACAGGACCTTGCTCTTGCTACTAACACTTGGCAATGCTACAGGGAAGAAGAGAATGCCCCAGACGAAAAGGAAAAGAACACAAGACTAGTTGAGTGATGAAGGAAGCATCAAATCAGAGAGGAGCCTGCAAAGGACATAAAAAGCCTATCAGGAGCCAGCCACTCCCTCCTACCCTAAAACAAAAGGGGAAGCAACAAAACAAAGGAAAAATTTCAATGCCGTAGGACTTCACAATATGTGGTGTGGAGAGCAATCATCCTCACATAGGTGCTGCACAGAAATGACAGCCCATCAGAACACAAAGCTATATGAAGTTGCTGGGCAGGGCAACTGTGTTTTAAGGCTGTTCAGGAAGGGGAAGCTGAATGCCTAGCACAGCACCAGGGGCTTGTCTCCCACCTGACCAAACACCAATGCTGCTGGAAGATCTCCCTTTGGATAACCAATGCTCCCGGCCAGAGCATGGGAAGGAGCAGAGCAAATGCCCCTTGGGCAGTTAGAAGCATGCTGAATCAGAGCCTTTCAACACTCCAAGCCTCTGAGCAGCCTCGTGAGCCACTGAGATAACTACAGTGACAGGCATTCCCTGAATCTTTCCTGCAAGATTAACAGTTGAGATCACACACAGCAACAGCTTTGGCTTTAAACACCACAGACAAATGAGAATGAACTGGGAAAATCTCACATTTCTTCCCCCTCTTCATTGAGCATCTTCCTCAGGAGCAGGAATCAGACTAATGTGCTAGCAGTTCCTTGACCTTTCCTCTCACTTTGCCACAACTGCTGACTAGTTACACACACAAAAAATATCTTACTGCCATCACTGGAGCAGGAGACAGGCAGGAGACTGCACAACAAATGCCTATCATGCCAGATCTCACACGTAATGTAGGTACGAATCTAAAAACATGCCCACCTCACCATTTCAAGTGAAGACCCTACTGTAACTCCGCCACTTGGAGAGTGTACTTACATGTCTGTGGGAGAAGAGCCTGAAGTATGGGAAGGAGAAGCAGAGCAAAACAAGCTTTCAAGACATAGCCTTCGGTTAAAGAAAAACTCCCAAGAACTGTCCAACAGTGGAAATCACCCAAAGACACAGGCACCGCAGCTGGACACAGGGAGTGCACAGTGACAAAGGCAGAGCAGCCAGCCTGGTTTTGGCATTTAATAGATCACTCCAGTCCCACAGAAACGGGACTGCACCAGTTTGGAAGAATAGGAAGGTAGGAGACAGAGGAAAACAGCTTTTTATACTCTCCTCAATGATTGCCCAACTGAGAGAGAGTCTATGCACTTTGCTGGGGCAGCATAGGTGATGTGCACAGTGCTCCCAAGCAGCGAGAGGCTGGGGAAAAAAGTTCGAATCAGGAGGTGATCAGTAGTTCTGAGAGGCAACAGGGTTCCAAAGCTAAACCAAGGCAGAAGATGACACGCAGACTCCAATCTCACCTGGAAGTGCACTCCTTCCTAATTTGCTTGGCAACTACCAAATGAAAAGCCTAAAGATTATTAAAGAAACACAGAAGGCCAGAGGATCAACATCCCAGAGGAAGATAAAGGAAGAGGGGAGAGGAAAAAAACGTTGCAGTGTGAAGAGACAGAGGAAATCACACCAGCAATTGTGTCATGTTGCTCCCAAGCCCGTTAGCAGCAGAGGAAGATACCACAATGCTGACTTCCAGCTTAAGTTTCTTCTTTCTACAGCAAGATGAGATTTGAGTGCTTCAGACCACCTTTTTCCTTTCAGTCCCCAAGTGTCCTGCCCCCCAGCCTCCCCAGGTCTCTCCCTCCAGCCCTGCCCTTCTCCGTTCAGGCAATCTTGGCCAGCCATTTCTCAAGGCCCTCGAAGTCAGCATCTCCCTCCTCTCCCTTGCTGCCCCGAGCACTGCACTCCACAAATTCCACCTTCATGGGTAGCTGGGAGAAGTCGAAGTCCTTGCCCTTCTTCCCCAGTTGGGTAGGTCCCCCAGTAGCTGAGCCATCCAGACTGGTGGGGGCTGCAGAGCGGGTCACTCGTAAGGTATTGCTGCAAGCAGAGAAGGGAAAGGGTCAAGAACTGTGAAGCAGGGGAATATTACCTACACCATGGCTGCTGAGATATTTTGGACCCAACTCTGTCAGCAGGATGCCAACTACACCAAGGATACAAGGTCCCATGGCTCTGCCCTGTGAGGCACAGGCAGGGGCAGGCACTTTGGCAACTTATCCTAAAAACCTGCTGGAAGGCACAACTGCAGAGAGGCTCCAGAGAGCAAGACAGACAAGAGGCCACTCAATAAGAGGGTGCTTAAACAGGTTTTGTTTTGTAATAAACAGCAGCAAGAGTCAGGCGATGATGTCCTCATCTGAATTTCCCCAATATCCCTGTGGCAGACACCAGTCACCAGGAATTACACATGATTTAGCTCACAGGGCTCAGGATCTGCACTAGTTTAACAGATTAACTGGGAAGAGAAAAGCACCCATGATATCAGGCACCATGCAGGGCCTCACCCCACTGCCACTTGAGTGTGCCAAACACCTTTGGGGACTGAGAGGGGGATCAAGTCTCCCCACTGCTCCCGTGAGCAATGTTTGCCCAAGGACCAGGCTGCAATGTCACTACTGCTTCTGCAGCTTGCTGCAGCATTTCAACTCCCTGCCACATGTGGAGAGGAAGGATGGACCCCCTTGTCCACACTCAGCAGGCATCCAAGGCAGAAGAAGCATGGGGAGATGGAACAGCCCAACAGATGCAGAGGCACCGCGACCTGACTGCCTCCGAGGTCTCAAAAAGCAAGGCTAGGGAAGTTAAGGGGCTGCACTAGGCAGAGATGCAAAGAGCAATCTCTCCCCGGGTCTTCAACTGCCTAGTAGAGCCTCATGGCTGGACTGCTCCATCTCTTCCAGAGACAGAGCAGTCTGGCAGTGCCTGCTTCTCAGTCAACCCCAGCTACTCCTTATTCACAGGATGGAGCTAAATTAATGGGGCACAGGCAAAGAACAACACTGCCAAGAGCTATGAGTTCAGGAATAAGAGAGGACACTTCCTTGGGTTCTCCACACAAGGACATCCAAGTACGGCAGCGCAGGGAGGAGGATGACAGCAATCTGCCAGCCTGCAGGAATAACACTGCCTAACGGGGAACATATAACATACCTAGAAATCCAACTTCTACACACAGGCAACTGGAAAACCAAGGAATGCTTATTTTCCTGGAGAGCTTGAATATGTGGCAACTAATTCCCTTAAAAACGGGAAGGTCAGGTATTCAGCCTGGAACAGGCACCAGCACAAATAACCCTGCTGCCGTCTACTGGCCGAAGAGACTGTAGAATCACAGAATCATTTAGGCTGGAAAAGACCCTTAAGATCGAGTCCAACTGTAAAGCTAACACTGCCAAGTCCACCACGTGGCAACAAGATGGCCAGATCCCACAAACATGCATTTATTTGGAGACCAAAGAGCTACACTCCTCCTCCTACCTCCAAGACCGCCTTCCCATTAACTGCAAACCAGCAAACAGGTCCCACAGGCAACAGGAAGGCAAAATACCCCGTTCTGAGTGTGTGTGAGAAAGGAAAATCTCTACTAGATGCTGGTGGAGAAGTCCACCACAGCACAAGAGCTGCACATGTCTCTCCCAGAGCTGATTTGACCCAACTACAATTAGGGGACTCACAGACAGAATCTTCATGCAGAGAGATTAAATATAGCTTAAAAAAATCATCTTCTACTTGCCCTCTCCCCAGATGGACTTGCCAGCTGTTGACAGTGCAGCTCATTCAGCTGGCAGCTTACAATGTAGCACAGTTTACAAGCCACTTTCTCCTCCTTCCACTTCCTCTTACAGCTTAAAATTAGCAACAGATCATACATCATTTGTCTTCCCAGGTTAATGTCCTTCCTAGGGGGGATACAGAGCCAACACGGGGTCCCAAACAGGCTCCTGCAATGCCTGTTAGCAGACCAGGAAAACTAGATGGTGTTTCCCCAGCTGTCAAGCTTTGTGTGCCAAGCCCTTTCATGCCAGAGTAGCCCTGCAAAAAAAAACCTGTGCCAGTACAACCAAGCAGAGCTACTGAGATGTTCACACCACTCACAGAAAGTCTGACATTTGGAAGCCAACCCTGCCTGTACCTGAGAGAGGACAGTGCCCTGGGCCATGGGAGGTTATCCCTTAGCCTAGGGATGGCAGCTTTTAGGAAAGGATTGGGATGTTGTTTCTCCAACCCACAGCTTCTAGGAGGCAATACGCTGTCTGTGCCTACTGCTTTTTTGCATGCTTTAGCAAGGAGCAATCTTCTCTCATCCTGGTTACACCTACACAGACAAAACAGACTGCTCTGTTTCTACAATGAACTTCGATGTGGCTCAAGGAAGCTCACGGTAAGAGATAGAAAGGAGAAGAGAGAATAGAGCAGCTCAGAGGGTTTAAGATCCAATTTCATACTTACAGCTCTTTCTCCAGCTGCTGTTGAATAAGTTTTGCTGATTTTGCCATTGTGACATCTAGAGACAGAAAAGAAAACTAAATCAGCTCTTTGGTTTTAGGTCAGAATTCAGAACCTGGTTCCTCCTCCTAAAGGTACGGTAAGGCCTGCACACACTGTGCAGTCGTAACAGTTACTGGGACAAAGATGGCTGTGTCTGCACTAGGATAAGGGATGCTGGAGCTTTGGGTTTGCAGGCATGAATGGGAGCAATCCAAACGTCTGGTATAACGTAGGGAATTAATTTCTCTTTGCTAGCCAGTAAGTTGCTTCAAACAGAGGACAGGGTTTGATGTCTCACTCACAAGGCCCAGCATTCTCACCTGTCCTAGCATTATGGAGCTCAACACAGTGCTTTTTAATCTATGACATGTGGACCCATGAAGGCCTCAGGCAGCTCCTGAAGTAGGGCATGAAGCAACTAAGAAAACCAAACCTGATACTGCCCAAAAGCTTCAGATTGTTATACACGGATCCACATCTTCACTGTAAATGCTTGTAGGGATCTGAAAATCTAGTCCTTTTCAGTAACTGGATGTTCCTGCTAGTCCAATCAACAGAGAATATATAATCTTGGCAGCTGAATGGCTGTCTGATTTTAACATTGAGGCTACCAAATGTGTACAGATAGTTTATTATGCTCAAGCTGATGCTATTTTCTGCTGCCTGCAGATTCAGGAAGACAGTTCTGCACAAGCAGAAAGCCACCTGCCTTACTTAAGCCCACCTAAAAAGCTGCAGCTCTCCCAAGTGGTGCTCCACTATGCTATTAGACACACCTGACTGAAGAATTCTTCCAATGGCTGCCAGAAATGCTCCTGCTGAGCAGTCCAAGTTTAAAACTAAGTTCTAGCCTTCATTTTGCTGAAATCCCAACTCCTAAGAAATTCAGCACCCATGGCATGAGCCCCTATCACTCAAGGACTGAATCGAATGTCCAGCCCACAAGGCAGCACACAATACCTTGCTTATTGCAAGCGATCAGCAGCGCGGGTGCATTTTTGAGCACAGTGCTATCGACCAGGACCTGGTACAGGAACTCCGCCACATCCTTCACCTCCCGCTGGAAAGCCACACTGTCCACCACAAACACAATGCCTCTGGAGGAAAGAGGGAAGAACATGTGCTGGGCCTGAATCTCTCCCACCATCTTCCCCTGCAAATATTCCAGCCTGGGCTAACCTACTAGTTTCCACATCTGATCTCAACCAACCCAAGAGCAGGTTAGCACATGCTGGATGAAATATACCCCATGTCCAGCCCCAGCAGGAAATCTTTCCCTCTCTGCCCCAGGGATACACCACATCCCCTAACCCTCCCTGCTGCAGCTGCTTTGCCTCCTGATGCACTACAAACACAGGTAAGCAGGAAAGAAGAACAATAACTAACCCCTGCTATCCCACAGCACAGCTCTGACTCTCAGGGTACCATCACACAGAGCAAATCCAGCCCAGCTCAGAGCATCCCCAGCACCGTCATTTGGTTTATCCCTTTCCGAAACATCACCTTCCCCCTCCTCCCCTGCCAATCTCCTCCAAGTTACCTGGCTGCAGCCTTGAACCTCTCCAAGAACTGAAGCCGCAAACTCTCATGGCCTGGAAGGTCGATTAAGGTCACGTTAGCGCTCTGGGAACAGAAGCAAGAAGGTATCAGCAACACCTTATCTAGGGGTACCTGTGATCACGGACCAGGGAAAACCAGTCTGATTTTGGATTCCAGTTAGCCTGGCATTGAGGCAGCAGTGCATGAGTGAATCCCCATAGCAGGCAGAATCACGTGACTCTCCCCAAGGTGCAGTCTTTCCACCAGCCCAAACAATTCTGACAGGCAAAAGAAATGCTGAGGAACGACGTTCATGGTCTGGACTCAGTAAAGAGGGTGCCAACACCAGCAAACCACCCAGCAGAGCCAAGAGGACAGAGCATGACCACAGAGAAAAGAGAATGTTCAACCCATTTCTCATCCACAGTACCTGCCCCTACAACTACCACATGCACAACACGAGTGACAAAGCTTCATCAGTCACCTCTCAGTACACCAGCAGATTTACACCATCCCTGACAGCAAGTAGATCCCTGCACAGCAAAACCATGAACTCCTGTCCTGCAAGTCCCTGATACAGAATGCTAATCCCACAGTCTCTGAATCAAGGTTACCTATTCACGCACAGAATCTACCCAACTGCAAGACTACCTAAACACACAAAACTTTGCTGGGAATAACACAAAAATGCCTTTGCAAGACACTTTTTTAACTGAAAGCTACAAACATTTCCCTTTCCACAGGCTGCCAGCCAGAAAAAGCAGTGACTTTAAAGAGAACAAATGCCTCTCACATGCTCCTGATTGAGATGTGGCAAAGCAGGGCCACGTCACCATTCTCAAGATAACACTCGTTGTTCTCGAGAGGGGAGAGAACACTACACAAGACCCTACCTACTCACTGCTCTTGGATTTTAACAGAACCCTTGCCTACAGTTTAAAGAAAAAAAAAGCAACAGTCCGTATTGCAGCATTCCAGCACCTCTCCCCCTCCAAATCCCTCCTGTCTGCTCAATCTTAGAGACACAAATACAAAAAAAAAGCCCTGCACTTCCCTTTACTAAGTTTTCAACCTCTTATTATCACCACCGTTACTGAAGATTGCCTCAGAGAAGCCACAAAAACATCCTCTACAATTTGCCAGCACGTAACATGCTGCCAGCTTTCACTGCCACATGTACACCCAGCAAGAGAAAGAAACTCTTCTGAAACAAAAGAGATCAGCATAAACTGAAAATAACTAGGTCTGTGGCAGCCCAAGACCTGAAAGTAACCCAAACCCTTTTTGAGACCATATGAAGTTCAGCTGGAGACTCTTTTTAAGCCTGCTAAACCTGTTAAATTCAGGTTTTCTTGGGAGACGCAGAAATTACTGCCAAGCAAATATACCAAACACAACAGAACAACATTCCCTCACAAATCTCCCTCCTGCTCCGAACCACACTGCTGTCCCCACAGTGCCATGTGTTTTACTCCACTTGTAAAAGCAGCTCCTTTTCCTCTTTTATAGAAAAAAACACCAGACACTACCCATCTTTCAAAACACGATACACAGACATGGTTTTCAATCAAAAAGGTTTCACAATTTGACAAGCAAAGAAAAAAAAACCTGCAGAGACGAGGAGTCCTAATACCTCCCAGTATTTTCCTACTTTCTCAGTGCAGGTTGCCTAGAAAAATCCTACACTTGGACCAAACCGGGCACTGATTTCGAGCTGGGAAGACTGAGCAACACAAAAAGGATCAAGCCAGGTTTAGCAGAGAGAGCAGAAAAACAAAGGTGCCAGCTGGCTGTAGCAACCACGCACAAGTTAGAGCCGAAAAAACTGCCTGCTCACCTTGTCATTGCTGACTCTGTAAACTGCGGAGCTGTCGGTTATCGAAGTCTGTGTATCACGGTATTTGCCTGTCAACAGCTGTGGAAAAAAAGTCATTTTCAGAGAAAGGAGGCTGGAGGAACACTGGCATCGCCTTTCATCCACTCAGTGATCTGTAAGGGGTAACAGACTTAAGACACCTGATTTCAATTTACGTGCATGAAACAATTTCAGGCTTTTTCTTCCCCAAAGAATTTAAAAAGCACCCGTTAAGGAAAAAAAAAAATCTACTTATATACCGAATCTCCACGTTTCTAAAAGAAGGAAGGGAGTGTGCCTGCAAATCCCACAGAGCACCTCCACCTCCGTGCGAGAGGACGCCAGGCGGCTGAAGCCGGGCACCTCCCCCGCCCGGGGCCCCCTTCGCGGCCGCTACGCCCCC